CGATTGCGTTTTAGAATAATTAGCACGCAAATCTCGCTATATCAATTACGACTGAGTTTGATCCTCTTTTGGGGATTTCAAAAGAACAATAGGCAAACATGTCTCGCTATATCAATTAGGACTGAGTTTGATCCTCGATTGGGTGTTTCAAAAGAACAATAGGCAAGCATGTCTCGCTATATCAATTAGGACTGATTTTGATCCTCGATTGGGTGTTTCAAAAGAACAATAGGCAAGCATGTCTCGCTATATCAATTAGGTCTGAGTTTGATCCTCGATTGGGTTTCAAAAGAACAATAGGCAAGCATGTCTCCCTATATCAATTAGGACTGAGTTTGATCCTCTATTGGGCGTTTCAAAAGAACAATAGGCAAGCATGTCTCGCTATATCAATTAGGTCTGAGTTTGATCCTCGATTGGGTGTTTTCAAAGAACAATAGGCAAGCATGTCTCATATATCAATTAGGACTGAGTTTGATCCTCGATTGGGTGTTTCAAAAAAGAACAATAGAGCAAGCATGTCTCGCTATATCAATTAGGACTGAGTTTGATCCTCGATTGGGTGTTTCAAAAGAACAATAGGCAAGCATGTCTCGCTATATCAATTAGGACTGAGTTTGATCCTCGATTGGGTGTTTCAAAGAACAATAGGCAGCATGTCTCGCTATATCAATTAGGTCTGTGTTTGATCCTCGATTGGTGTTCAAAAGAACAATAGGCAAGCATGTCTCGCTATATCAATTACGATTGCGCTTGATCCTAGATAGGGGTTTCAGAAGAAGAATTAGCTAGCATATCTCGCTATGTGAATTACGACTGAATTTGATCCTCGTTTGGGTGTTTTAAAAGAAGAATTAGCAAGCATGTCTCTATATATCTGTTACGACTGAGTTTGATCCCCGATTAGGTGTTCCGAAGAACAATTAGCACGCAAATCTTGCTATATCAATTACAACTGATTTTGATCCTCGATTCGGTGATTCAGAAGAAGAATTAGCAAGAATATCTTGCTATAACACTTCCGCCTGAGCACATGATCGTCGATTGGGTGTTTAACAAGAAGAATTAGCAAGCATGTCTCTCTATATCAAATATGAGTCAGTTTATCCACGATTGGATGTTTCAAGAAGAATTAGCAAGCATGGCTCTTTATATGAATTAAAATGAGTTTCATCCAACACTGGGTGTTTGAAAAGAAGAATTAGCAAGCATGTCTCTATAACATTTACGACTGAATTTGATTCTCGTTTGGGTGTTTCAAAAGAAGAATTAGCCAGCATGTCTCGCGATATAAATTATGACTGATTTTGATCCTCGATTGGGTGTTTAAGAATAATTAGCACGCAAATCTCGCTATATCAATTACGACCGATTTTGATCCTCGATTGGGTGATTTAGAAGAATTAGCAAACATGTCTCGCCATATCTTTTACGACTGAGTTTGATCCTCGATTGGGTGTTTCAAAGAAGAATTAGCAAGCATGTCTCGCTATATCAATTACGACCGAAGTGCACTTTATGAATATTTCCTCGGTCTTAGCGAGTCTGTTAATAGGCTTTAATAATGAAGGACTTTCTGTAGATCTAGCGACCAATCTGCTAGAGAAAAGCGCAACAAAAAGTGTCCTTTTCAAATGTTAAAAAAAAAACGTGTTTCCACCTATAAGGCGACCTGTAGATAAGACGATATAATAGACCCCAAATTTAGGTAAATTTTCGTGATTTTAACAGATATCCGTCATATAAGACCACCGACTTACAGCCCATATGATTATGAACTCTTTGCATCAGATGGTGACAATTATAGGCATTTTGAATGTTTTTTTTTATTATTATGAATGTGGATGTCTTGTGATTTTTTTTTTTATTCTGCAATAAGAAATAAAGATTGTATAGCATCTCAGATGTTTTGTTGCTTAACGTCGCAAAATACTGTATAATACGTCATTGAAAATACAGTTTGCATGTTGGCTAATTAAATCTAAATGTTATTAAACAATACAATGATAATGATTTAATAGATTGTATATTATCCCATTTTTTTGTTATTAACATGATTGGGGTGAACGCACCCATAGCTGTAATGTATTAATTATAATAATGGAGGAAGAGACGTCCTTATTACTAGTGCTGATACAATTCACAGGATTTAAGATTAGTTTTTTGTAACTGGTTTATTAGACATTCCCCTATTTTGGGAGAGGGGGTATTTTAAGATTTAAAGGTGTCTATTACACAGAATTATACGATATATACAAACCCTAGTATTTAATTGAAAAATGGGGAGTTAAATTTTATAAATATGTTCTAAATTTACCATCTACAAAGAGAGAAACGAAATAGATAAATGAAACTCGAGTAAAACCGCCTTCGGCCAGATTTTTTTTCCGTTTGAATAGAAAAGGTGCCGGAAGAAATCTTCGTGGGGCTGCGTAATAAATAGTCATTTTCATCGATATCGTTTTTAGAAAAAGACACTTTGAGAGCGGGGTGGGGGAAGAAGCATCGTTATGTGAATGTCAATAACCAGGAGCCATTTTGAAAACAAGAAACGCGGATATGCGGTCAGGGAAATCGAAAATATAAAAGATAAATTGATTCTACGGC